GATTCCATGGAAAACGATAGTATCCATATCAAAGGTAGCAGTGATGTCACTGAAAGAATGAATCATTGCACCCGAACAATCTTATATGAGAACCAGCTTTCCCCTCTGTGCAAATGGGATTGATATGTGCATTGGAAAATGCTCCTATCATTCATTCTGCTGTGCTGGAGACATAGATGCTGAGGGAGGAAAGTGCTAGAAGCTATGATTGTCAGGGATTAAAGACACTGTGTCTATGGTTTGAGAACCCTACTCTTCTACTGTATATGTTAATTCTTTGAACCTCTGAACCTGTCAATCTGCTTTCCCAATCCCTTTTTATGACTGACACCTAACTGATTTCTAGGGTGTAGAGGCAGTATTGCATAGCAGAAAGATGAAAGGTTTAGGGGTCAGATACAGTAGGTTTAAATCCTCGGTCAGCCCACTTCTAACTATAAAATGGTAAAAAAAAAAAATGTAGACAAGTCTCCTGACTTCTCTTGAGTCTCAGTTTATCATCTACAACATAGGTTTAATGATTGTCATGAGGACTAAATGGGATATGTGTGAAAGTGCTTAGTAGGTACTGAAATCATAGTAAAAAGGACAAACAAATCCACATACTGTGATGTATAGCCTATGTTTGGGCAACCTCATGTCAAAGGTGGTCTGAAAAGTCTGCTGGTTTGGTAAATGTTAGGCATAAGGTACAGAAAACACTTTATTTTTTAAAATTTTATTTTCTTTAAATGCAATTAATTAACATATGGCATATTATTAGTTTCAGAGGTAGAGTTCAGTGATTCATCAGTTGCATATAATACCCAGTGGTCATTAGAGAAAGCACTTTAAATTAGGAGTCACAGAATACAGGACCTAGTCTGGCTTCCACCCTTAACTGCTCTTGCGCTTTGGTTTCCACTGAGCTCAAGTGTGCAAGTTGTATCCAAAAATTCCTAGAATTCCTTACACTTCTGAAATTCCATGAATAGATGAAGTCTGCAATATGTGAATCTGAGGTGTGTTGTATTCTAGAGCAACTATTGTACCATGTATTGTATTCTGTTCTGCAGAAGTCACCATCCCACATGTTTGAATTCTGCCTCAGGAAAAGTGGTCCTTGGCAGCCCTATGTCTCATTCAACATGACCTTATGCATCTTTTCCTCACTCCACAGCCATAGCTGTTTGTACCGGGAGTGAAGATCTATTTCATGGTGGGCTGGCTAGATTCTCCTTGCTGGACATTTGGGATTAGAATATAGAAAATTGAGTTAATAGACAGTGATGCTGGACCTGGAAGGTCACCATGTAGGTACTTGGAGGCTGAGGGTACCATTTCGTGAAAGCCATCATGGATCCTGTGAAAGCAAAGTGAAAGAAGGAAATCTGGGGCAGGTTTGATGGAGAGAGAAGGGGAGGGGGAGAAGGAAGGAAAAACGGAGAAAGTAACTTCTTTGGTCATTCTCTGTTCCAATCACCTGAAGGCCTTGTTCTTTTTATACTTGAGTTCTGTGAGATTTCCCTGTATTCTTTTTTACCTAAAGCAGATTTAAATGGGTTTTTTGTTCTTTACGTCCAACCATGCCCTAAGACATATGGTAACACAGACTGGAAAGTGGTAACTAGACTGGGAATTCTCCAATGGCAGGGATTTTTGTCTTGTTTCCTTTTGAAATAAACTTTTGACTCAGCTCTCTACACAAAGTAGGTACTCAATGAATTTATGCTGAAATGACATAGAAATCATACTTTGTTTATGAATAGTGTCATTGATGGTATTTACATAAAAAGGGTTAGTTATAATAGATAATTATGTTTCAGGAAGCATTTCCCCTGATCCTCCCAATTGGGCAAGAAACATTACTGAGCACCGTCTTCACAGTGTCCCCAGGACTCATTCAGGATCTAGCTTATTATAGGCTTTACTTAAAAATGTCTGTTGAAGGGTGCCTGGGTGGCTCAGTGGATTAAGTGTCAGCTTAGGTCCTGATCTTGGGGTCCTGGGATCAAGCTGACAATTACATATTTACATAGGGAAATGTGAGACAGAATGTCCAACTATGGAGGCTACAGAGGGTTATGGCTAAGAGTGCTGACTCTGAAGCTGGACTTTCCAGATTCAAATCCCACCTCCACACGCTGCTCCCTCGATCAACTGCCTTTGTGATGTCGGGCAATTTACTTAACCTTTCAGTGCCTCGGTTTCCTCATCTGTAAAACTGGGAGTAATAATGGTATCCATCTCATGGGGGTGTTGTGAGAATTAAAGGAGATGCAGTTTGTAAAGTTGTCAGTAAGCACTTCATCAATGTCAGCTCTTACTATCTGTTGTTGCAATAGATATCTGGTGGTGAGATCCAATTAAAAGAACTATCCTATTAATATTGAACAGCCAAATCAAATAGCAAATCTCTTAGCCATTTGGGAAGCCAGATACCATCTGAGTTGCTACTGAATTTGTGGAGTACTGGTAGGGATTGGTTTATGGTAGGAAAGAACACTGAAGATGCAATACCCAGTGGAAGGTCTTGAGTTCGGGGGTAGGAGTTTGGATTTGGTTGGATAGCTGCTAGGACACAGTTGTTTGTCCTGAGCAGGGAAATGATGTGGTGAAAGTAAGAGAAGGTGAGACAGGAATAGGAGGTCCAGCAAAGACCGGTGAGGGGCTGTTGCAGTAATTCAGGTGTTAGGCGACCTGCTTCTCACCTGCTCTACCGCTGCCACCCTGGTCCAGGCCACCATCATCTCTTGTGTGGATTATTGCAAACTCCTCCTAACCTCTCTCTGCTTGAGCCCAGCCTCCTGCAGTCTTATCTCAACATAGTCACTCCTTGGCGCACACTGATCATCAGCTCCCACCTCACTCAGAGGACAGGCTGAACCCCTCACTAGGATCTACAAGGGTTGCAGTGTTGGGCTCCTGCTACCTCTGGCTTCGTCCGTTCTCTCGACCCACACCCACCTGTTCTCTCTGCTCCACAAAGCCGTCACCCTTGTTCCTCAAATACACCAGACCTGTTCCTGCCTCGGGGCACTTGCCTATGCCTATTCTTCCCCTAAATATCTGCAGAGCTAATTCCTTCATCTCCTTTAGGTCTCAGTCCAAATGTCATCTTCTTAGTGATATCTTCCTTGGCTACCTTTCTGAAAATAACAACTCTTCTCCATCTTGGCACTCCCTATCCCCCTATCTTGCTTGGCTTTTTCTTCCCTTATCACCACCTGACATGATTTCTTTGTTTCATTGTCTAATTTCTCCACTGGGATGTTAGTTCTTTTGAGGGCAGATATTTTTGACTGTCTTGTTCAGGACCTAGAACAGTGCCTGGCATGTAGTAGGTGCTCAATAAATCTGTGTTGGATGAGTGTATGAATTAAAAGCAGTCAGATTTGTTGTGCCAGGCAAAGTGTTTGGTGCCCCCTCAGAAGCTGCTTCGTTTGCTTTTCTCAATGACCCTGTCAGAACATATTGTTCTCACTGTCTTACAAATGAGGATATGGAGGCACAGAGATAGGAGGTAACCAAGGGCACAGAGCTGGTAAATGACACAGTCAGGAGTTGTGTCCATTCCTCTAACCTTGGCTCTTGCCATTGTTCTGTGCATTGTTAAGATGAGATGAGGGAGGAGAGGTAAGTCCAAGGCTTCTAGTTCTAAACAATGAAAGAGCCCCAGAACCGCCAACGGAAATGGGAATGAGGATGTGTGTAGTGAGGAGTGAGGATATGTTGGATCAAGTAAATGTTCAGAGGGAAATCCTTAATCTTAAGTTGGGTGACTAAAAATATATTGATTAAATCATACATTGTCTGAGACCCTTCTGAGGGTGAAAGTAAGCACTATTAATAATTAAGTCGGAATGACCAAATTGGGACCGTTCCAGCAAAAGGGGACAAGTGGTTAGTTACCCTGGATTTAGGGGACTGGAGAGTTGGTGAGAGTCACGGCTAGAGATTCGGGTGTCTCCGTTCAAAAAGGACAAGGGGACACCATAAGGATACGTGATCTCACTGTCAGGTCAAGGGAAGAAGAGGATGTCAAGGCCAACTTCAAGTCCTTCCAGCAGACAACAGTTGGAGGAGAAAGAGGAGTCTGTGAAAGACAGAAGAACCAGAAGGGAAGAGAGGCACAGAGGTCAGGAGGAGCTGTGGACAGGAAGGAGGGGGAGTGGGTGGAGGCCACATTTTGCAGGGCAACTTAAAAGTAGGTCAGCTGGAACTTGGCAACAAAAATGAGATTAGAGAATCACTTGCTTTTCAATTTTGTAACAATATCTTCATCTGTCTCAACAAAGTGCTAAAAGGCATTTAATCAAAGTAGATTAAAATTAATTTTGATTTGAGGACTTTTTTCTGCTACTGCCCCCATTATATTTTGAGATGCTATGGGGTGCTTTCAAACACTGGATCAGAAACGAGCGTTTGGTGCCCCAGCCTGAAGTTTTCTGGTGCCTCTGCCTGACCTGAGTCACTAAAACGTCCTATATTTAGAATGTTATTGACACAGATAAAACCTGGGCCCCAGTAGGAAGATACAAAAGCAAAGGGGATACTTTTGTGATTTCTTTGGGGTCAGGAAGATTAAAAATTGAGTTTCTAGGCTCGCATAGGTAATATTGTCTTAAATCTGTTATTCTTGGCCAAGTAGAAATTTTGATAAACTCATTATCGGTTTAAGCAGATGTTTTCCTATCCCAGCTTGTTACATCAGTGAAGGAAGGGTGTGTGTGTGTGTGTGTGTGTGTGCCTGCACACACAGGGGTTGAGGGTTGTGGAGGCCAGCAAAACAAACAAAACCCTAGTTTAAAACATATTGACTTGACGGCATTGGCAAAAATGCTGGTGAAGACTATCTAACAATAAAGTTGTTTAGTAACTGGTGGTCTGTCAGGTCATAGTTAAGGAGTGAGAGGTCACTAATTGCAATATTTTTGTCTCTCCAGACGTGTTGGTCCACTTGGCTCTGGCCAGAAGGGGTCTTTTCTAGGCAGAGAGTATTTTGTGTGAATGGCACAGGGTTTGGAGTTCTCAATTTATTAGACAGTAAAGGCACATGACCAGGGCCCTGGGAACAGAGCCCAGCCTTTGCACTCTCCGAGAGCCAGCATTAGTAGTTGTTGGGTAGCAGCATTAGACAGAGGATACACAGCAGGCCTTCCTCATCATCGCTTTTTATCACGGCAAAAGTGTTACTGGGCTGAAATCAGCATGGCACACAACTCCTGGAAACCAAAAGGAGTAACATCGCTCAGGAATTCAAAAGGAAGAAAGCCATTAACATGGAGCCAAAGCCTGCTGGCATGCCTCGCAGAAATCAAATAGATGTGGACGGCTCCCCTGAGAGGGGAAATGCATGACTCCAGGCTCCCCCTGCACAAGATGATATCAGTACCTCAGTACTGGTTTTCACAGAAGCAGTCCGTCTGTGGCAGGTTTTCATGCCAAATCGGATGCCTGTGTGTAGACAAGGCAGACCTTGAGTGGAATGAGGGAGCAGGAGGTGCTCCCCTCTGCCGTTCTCAACCCCTCCCTAACCACGGAGTCCCGTTACAGAGCTTCTCAGAAGATTTTACATGCAAACGATAATTTATTAGAGACATATGGTACGACATCAACCGTGTTCAATATTCCTCTCCTTTTCCCTTTTATCACCTTCTTCCCTCCTCCTCTCCTTGCTCCCATCTGCTCTATGTCAGGGGCTTTTCTTTCTCCTTCTCTTTTGCCATTCTTCTGTCCCCTTCCTGAGATATGAAACTGGGACAGAGAGGAGAGAGAGAGAGAGAAGACAGGGAAGGAGGGTCATCTGTCCTCTGTAAATTGTAAATCTGAAACGTTTGTTGATCTAGGGGTTTCTTAGTATTGTTGCTGTTTGTTTCCATCTCATAGAGTTATTGGAAGGATTAAATGTGGAGTATCTGGCCCAGTGCCTGGCATGCAGCAAGGTCTCAATGAACACTACTTGTTAGGGACGGCTGGGTGCCTCGGTCGGTTAAGTGTCTGCCTTCAGCTCAGGTCATGACGCCAGGGTGCTGGGATCGAGTCCCGCATCGGGCTCCTTGCTCAGGGGGAGCCTGCTTCTCCCTCTGCCTGCCGCTCCCTGCTTGTGCTCAGTCTCTCGCTCTCTGACAAATAAATAAAATGTTAAAAAAAAACCCCACTACTTGTTATTTGTATATAAAAGTTTGCCCTTGAAATAAATATCTTTAGCCTTAGAGCATCCCATTTGGGTGGGGATTTCTTCCTTTCTCTCAAGATGTTCCTTTTCTGAAATTCTTTCAGGGTAATTATATGTATATGTGCGCAAGCGCACTTTCTCTCTCTCTCTCTCTCACACACACCCCCCCACACCACCCACACCCACACCCGCACACACCCTTTTGAAGAAGGGGTACGCGGGTACAATGCAGAGAAGGCTAATGCTTCATCTTGGTCTAGTAAAAGGCTTTCAAAAGTTTTTGACTGCCACAACTATTACCCACACATATATCTATATACAACAAAAAACAAATTTTCAGTAAATAATACTTGTCATTACTTGCACTATTGTGTTCTGCTCTACTCCATTCTCTTTCATTAAAAAAATATGGATTGTCACTTACTAAATTAATTTCATGATCCATAGTGGGTGACACCTGCAGTTAGAGGAACCCAGGTCTGGTAGATAGCTGGGGCTTTGCCGGGTCTCACCAGCTCTGTCCTTGCCCTGGGCCTCCACCTCCGCTCTGACTCTCCAGACTTATCATATTCTCAGTTCTTCCAGTTCCCCCTTTCTATCTTCCCAGTTAAGAAATAGCAGAATTAGAAATGCCTTTTCTATCTTTTTCCTTCCTTCCTTTCTCATAGCTCCCTTCCCCCCGCCATCATGTCTCCCACCCCTAGCAAGAAATGGACATTCTTAACTGCTGTTATTGAATAATAATGATGATGATGATGACAGTAATTATGACAATGCTAGCAATAGTCAGAAAGATTGATAGCTAACACTCATTTCACACCTGCTTTGTGCCACACACCCATCTAAGTGCTTTACAATACTGCTCATAACTACCTTATATGGCAGACCACCCTATAATTACTCAGAGGAAAGCTTTACCTGCTCTTTTCCTCCAACATCTACTCAGAATCAGACTTGCATGTTATAGATTCTGGGCTAAACACTTAATTAAATAGAAATGATGATAATATTATGGAACAAACTATTCGTTTTCATCAATCCTGATCTGGAAACAATAGCTAAAGAGGGTGAGCACAAACCTAGAATCAGTAAACCTGAGGCTTGGCATGTTGCTGTGCTTGGGCTGAAATTATTCTTGATATATCACAAATCTGAGACGGAAACCATTATAAAAATTTAGTCACAAATAAACATCCACCCAGAAAAAATTCCTGTGGTGTTTGTCATTTTAATGCTCTGTTCAGTAATTAATTTTTAAAAATTTAACAAGTAACAATTTTTCTCTGTTTATAGAAGTCCTATTGTGTTCTTGGTAAAATTCTGGAACATGCAGCCAAATGTAAAAATGAAAATGAAAACGACCCTAAATCTCATCATCCAAAGACAGCATCTATTCACATTTTGGTGTAGTGTGAGTGTGTTAGGCCTTCAGACAGACATGTTCTGTTTGGCATGCACATTGTTTTAAAATGTTTTTCATTTAAAAACCTAGACTTCTAGCATTTCTTGAAAAACCATCAAGATCTGACGACACTGGGCCCACATGCTTGCAGGGCACCTGCTGAAGGAGCTGAGAAGCAGCTGCCCCTCCTAGTGGGGGAGGGATACCTATTTCATCTATCCCTGTCCCATGCTCCCATTTTTCTTACCTTGGTCAATTTCATTCATTTGTTATTCTTGTGCCCTGGAGGGCATTTGAGTTTTCTTTTACTTTAAAAACAATTCTTACCTAACATTTCAGGGCCAAAGCTGTACTTCTTGTAGGTGGTAACAAAGAGCTCAGGTAGATAGGGGGTGGCCTCTTGCTGGAGAAGGTGGGAGAGCACCTTCTGGCTTCTGCTTTTTGTCTCCTGGTATGTCTGAAATCCGGACAAGTTCTACATCTACAGGATAAATTTCCTTTCATACCTCCCATCTCTATTCTGCATCTTATTTTTATATTTTTGGCCATATTCTTATGAACTGATAAAACTGACTTTATTATGTTAAGAAAGTACCTCTTCCCTACTTGCTTTCACACATTGCATAACAGCAAGGGCCAAATCACTTCTCCTTAAGCCTTTGGGTTCCCTTTGGGCCTAGGTCTTTGCATTTGACCCAAACAGAATGACACTGTAAACATTTTCTCACCTCATTAAAATTACTCAGGAAAATAAATTTTAGTGGCTGAAAAATGTCCTATTATACGGATATATCACATTTTCCTGACCTTCTTTTCTCATGGATAAGGGCTCAGTGAGAGGCAGGTCCTGTGGGAAGACATGCCCCTTATGGAGAAGAGAGGAGACAGGAGGCAGTGAGAACAGGCTACCAATAAAGAGATTCTAGAATTGGTTACTTTAAGAAGCAGAAGTCTACAATGAGCAGAGAGCCCAAAAACTAGAGTTCCCAAATCCACAGGTTAGGTGAGAGGTGGAGGCCAAGACACTCTGTCATAAATCTGCAAGGAGGTCAGGAAGCAGATGACCAAGGAGTGAGGAAGCCAGTGGATGGGAAAGTGAACCCATAGTAATCACTGAGCAGGGGGTGCAGTCATAATTTGCATTTTTTTGCTTTTGTTTTGTTTTTCTTTTTAAATGATTCTCATTCCTGCTAGCTCAACTTAAGAGAGCTGATACAGGGTATATAGTAATTTATCCATTTCCCTAAAGTTGAATATTTAGGTGTTTCTGATTTTCTACTTTTATAAATAATGTTGTGATGAAAATCTCAGTGCATAGAACTGTGCATTTTGAGTTATCACTTCAAGATAGATTTGTGGAAATGGAGTATTTATTCTTTTTAAGAATACTGGGATAGGGGCACCTGCCTGGCTCAGTCAGTGGAGTGTGTGACTCTTGATCTTGGGGTTGTAGGTTTGAACCCCACACTGGGTATAGAGATTACTTAAAATCTTAAAAAAATATATTGGGGTGTATTGACAAAATGTTTCCATAAAGGTTGTTCACATTTATACTCCCATCAACAGTGTTTTTTATGTTTTGCTTTGGCTTCTTCAAATTAACTTGGTCTACTCACATAAATCTTTGAATAAAGAGCTGCCACCAGCATCTGTACTCCATATCTGGAATTTTTCTAGGCCACTGGTTTTTAGATTTTTTTTTGACCTGACCCATAGTGAGAAGGAAATTTTACAAAGTGATTCAACACATATAGGTATATACCTGAAACACATGTTGCACAGAACAATCATTTGCCCATCCTCTATGTGATATACTCTGGTTAGGTCCATTCTTTTCTAATTTAATTTCTAAAATAAGCTCATCATGACCCATTGGGTCATAGGTCATTACTCGCAGTTTGAAAAAAAATATCATTCTAAGGGGCCTGGATGGCTCAGTCGTTAAACGTCTGCCTTCGGCTCGGGTCATGATCCCAGGGTCCTGGTTTCAAGCCCTGCATCGGGCTCCCTGCTTAGTGGGGAGTCTGCTTCTCCCTCTCCCTCTCCCTCTGCCGCTCCTCCTGCTTGTGCTCTCTCACTCTCTCTCTCTGTCAAATAATAAATAAAAATCTTTAAAAAGAAAAAAATAATTCTAGGACAAGTTCTGTTTCACAACTTGACTTCCTAGAACTTCAGCCTCTCTTTTTTCCGTACTCATTTAGGCCCCAGACGTCTATTCTTCAACAATCCCTTTAAATTAATGAGCTGTTGTGGATATGCTCACTTGGATTTGACCATTACCACTTTCTGAGCTATGACTTCCAGACTGTGCCCTTTGTCTCGGGCCCCAGCCCCTGTTGTATCCCATCTAGTTTCCTTGGGACCTGTCCTGGGCCGGCATGATCTCTTCATGGTCTCCTCTCAACAGGGATGGGACATTTGAGAGGGAATGAGAGTTCTTGTCACACTGTACACCATCACTAAAAAAGAAAGATCTTGCCTAGATCCCTCTAACCCTAGATATCTACATGTGGACACTCTCATTTCCTTCAATCTCTGTAAATGTCACCTCCCCAGAGATATCTTCCCTGACCATGGCATCTCAAATAGAATCCTGGCCACTCTCTGTCCCCTCACCTTGCTCTAGCTTTTCTTTTTAGCTTTTATTGAGGGTCTAGCTACAGCTTGTTTGAAATCATAGAGTATAAAAGCAAGGAGAGATTTAGAGGCCAAATCTGGTTTGACCCCCTAATTTTACATGGAAGAAATGCAAGCTCAGAGACGTAAGAAAATATTTCATGGCAACCTAGCTTATTTGTGGCAAAGTTGAACTAGAAACCAGATCCTTGGATACTTGTTGGTTCTTCACTGGTTTATGGTACTGTCTGTGCTGTGATCTTTATGATGAGGTTATTGATGAGATAATTTTTGTCTTTTAATAAGCTCTGATGCCTTGTGTTAGACTACATTAAATTTAGTGGTAAATTGTAGTGTAAAAATGTTCCAATGTTATGTCACTGGAAGCATAAATTACTTAGTCTGAAGGGCTTTATCCTCCTCAAATAGAATTTTCAGCAACAGCTTCCTTACTCCTTGGTCATCTGCTCCCCTGACCTTCTCTCAAATGGTTTTATTTTACACAAAAGAAAACTGAGGCATAGAGAGGTAAGTAACATAGACACCATCCCAATTGAACTAAACTACAATATTAAAGGGAAAGTGTTAAGTACAGAAATCTGGAAGACTGAGGTTGGTAGCCCAGAAATTCCATATAGGCAAACACTTGGGTTTAAGGCTCCAATAAGATACAGGGTTTAATGACAAATGGAATCAGGAGAAGGGGATGAGGCTTGTGTCACAGGATTTGATGAAGGAGAGAGAGGGTCTCTCACAACAGCACAACTAGGATACAACTGTTAGTTCCGGGAAGAACCTTCCAGACCAGGGCGTAAGGTTGGCTGGATGTCCAGTCCTCTGCTGGCAGTTTTGTGCTTCCAGTACCTAGGTCTCTTAGGGAGTTCTAGAAGCTCGTCCATGTAGTACTTCCCTGTACCAAACACTTCCTACTTTCCCCAAATGCAAAAATGTCAGTGATTGGTAGAAATTTTTATTTTTTACATCTTAATTTTGTCAGTCTGAATCTTTTCACTATCTTTTGGCAATGACATTAATATTTTTCTTTTGGGGAATGACTTCTCTCTCACTGGTAGCATTCTGGTGGGAACTGTTAACTAAGATACCCCTGATCAACCCTGGTCAAGGGGAAGGTGTAAGACCTGAGTGAACCTAAATGAATGTTCCTCAGGAAACCTGAGTTTTGATCAGTGTACAAAGAGATTGGAAACAGTTGGAGCTCACTTATTTCAGTGGCAACACTTTGTCTAGACTATTGCAATATTCTTGCTTTAGAGACCCTGAAGTAGTCTTCCTTTTTGTCCTCTACTGGGCCTGGTCTCCAGCCTTCCCTTTGATTTTGTGAACTCTCCCATATCTTCCTAGTAATTTTTTTTCTTTTTCTTTTTTTTTGCTTAAGTTAGCCAGAGTAGATTTCTGACACTGATAATCAAGAACCTGGATTAGCACAGTAGGTAGTCTGACCAGGGAATTCCAACTACCTCTTATTTTTTATTTTATTTTTATTATTTTTTAAGTGTTTGTTTAAGTTTCAGTTAACATACAGTGTAATATTAGTTTCAGGTGTACA